TGAAAAAACCACCTCTATCCCTCCCTGATCTCTTCAGTAGGGCCGAAAAGTACATCAACGCTGAGGAGATGTCAAGAGCGGATGATGAGCATGAGACCTTTGACAGAAAAAGGATGAGGGACTCTGGTGACGATAATGGCAGAAAGAGGAAAAAAGTATCGGATAGGCTGTCTGTCACGACCAACTCATCGAAGGATCGGTCCAACCTCTCTAGGTTTGAAAGGTATACTCCTTTGTGTGCTACAAAGAATGAAATCTTCATGTATATTCGAGATAAGGACTTTGTCAAATGGCCAACCAAGATGAGAACCCCGACAAACAAAAGATGTCGGGACAAGTATTGTCGCTTTCACAGAGACCACGGTCACGATACCGAGGACTGTAAGACCCTGAAAAACGAGATTGAGGACTTGATACGCAGAGGATATCTTAAGAAATTTGTGGGGAAAGACAGAAGCAACCCTCAACCTCAGCGAAGACGTCCAAAAGATCAAAGTCGTAGTCCTAGGAGGGGTAATCCTAGGGCCCGAAGTCCGAGGAGGGACAACACTCAAGTTGCTGGGGTCATAGCTGTCATCGCCGGAGGACCATCCGGCGGAGAAAACAATTCTGCTCGCAAACCATATGCTAGGCAACCTCGAACAAGTGAGCCGCAAGAGAAAAGGGCTCATAGGGAGACACAAATAACCTTTACAGACGAAGACACGGGTAACATTCTAACTCATCATGATGATCCCATGGTCGTTACACTTACGATTGGAAATTATGGGGTCAAAAGAGTGTTTGTGGATAGTGGCAGCTCGGCTGATATCATATTCTATGATGCATTCGAGAAGATGAAAATTGGTCGTGAACGACTAAGGCCAGTCAAAACTCCACTCATGGTTCACAGGTGAAACCGTGGAGCCGGAGGGAATTATAACTCTCCCGTTAACTGCAGGGGACTCACCCCTTCAGACCACGGTCATGATGGATTTCTTAGTTGTGAAGGTCCCTTCCAGTTACAATGTCATCCTTGGACGATCAGGGTTGAACAAGATGAAGGCAATAGTCTCTACATATCACATGCTTATGAAGTTCCCGACCGAGAATGGCATCGGGAAAGTTCGTGGAGACCAACAGGTAGCCAGACAATGTTACGTGGCCTCACTCAAAGGTAAAAGGAAGAACTCGGAGGCTCTAACCATAGAGAGCTTGGATCCGGAGGACGAGGTTAAGAAAGCGGGAGAGCCAGTAGAGACCTTAGTCTCAATTGAGCTTTATGAAGGGGACAATGATAAGGTTGTGAGAATAGGGTCCTCATTGCCCGAGGACCTTAGGACAAAGCTTGTCCAATTCTTGAAAGAAAATGTCGAAGTCTTTGCTTGGAGTCCATCTGACATGCCGGGAATTGACCCTGAGGTCGTAGTCCACCGACTAAATGTGGACCCTAGCTTTAAGCCGATTCAACAGAAGAAAAGGAGTTTTGCCCCGAATAGGATCCAAGCGATCAACGGAGAGGTGGATAAGCTCTTAGATGCTGACTACATAAAGGAGGTAGATTATCCCGAGTGGTTGTCCAACGTTGTCTTGGTTCTGAAAACAAGTGGCAATTGGAGGATGTGCATAGACTTTACAAGTCTAAACAAGGCGTATCCAAAGGACAACTTTCCCTTACCGAGGATAGACCAACTGGTAGATGCCACCGCCGGATGTGAAGTCCTCAGCTTCATGGATGCATTTCAAGGGTACCATCAGATAAGGATGCACCCAGGCGATGAAGCCAAAACTTCTTTTGTCACCGACCAAGGCCTATATTGCTACAAGGTCATGCCCTTCGGTCTGAAGAACGCGGGGGCTACATACCAAAGGCTCGTGAACATAATCTTTAAAAACCATATTGGTGGAAACATTGAAGTGTACGTTGACGACATGCTATCAAAGAGTCCACGTGCGAAGGACCACATAACTGACTTAGAGGAGACCTTCGCAGTGTTGAAGCATTACAAGATGAAGCTCAGCCCCAACAAGTGCGCTTTTGGGGTGACCTCGGCAAAGTTTCTTGGATACATGCTTACACAACGGGGAATCAAGGCGAACCCCGAGAAAATCAAAGCATTGTTGGACATGAATCCTCCTAAGTTAGTGAAAGAAGTTCAGAGGCTCACCGGGAGACTAGCAGCACTTAGTCGTTTCTTGTCAAAGTCTGCAGAAAAGAGCCTACCATTTTTTAAAGTGCTAAGGAAGGCAAATATGCTAGCTTGGACAGAAGACTGTCAGAGAGCGTTCGAGGATCTAAAATCTTACTTGGGTTCTCCACCACTTTTGACAAAGCCACAACAAGGAGAGGTTTTATACTTATACCTGGGAGTGTCGGATGCGGCTGTGAGCTTGGTGTTAATCCGAGAAGAAGATGGAGTCCAAATGCCAATTTATTATGTGAGTCGAGTCCTAGGAGGCGCAGAGCTTCGCTATCCTAAGATCGAAAAGTTGGCATTGGCCTT